GCAGTGCCCCAGACACCACTCAAACACCAGGATCCTCTTCTCCCCTTCACAGGTTGCCACGCACAGCAAACATGTGGGTGGATGTTTAGATTCCAGAGAAAGTAACTGAAAATACTGGGAGATCCCCTCACCACGTACAGGAATCCACGTCGAGTGGAAATTCAAACTATTTATCCAATTTTTTCGCATAATAGTATATTAAGGGTATGAGGGGCTTCAAAGATCTCCATGCCAGCCCTGTTCATAGACAAGTCTTTCAACAGTTGTGAGTGTGTATCAAATGAGCCCCTGAGTCATAAAAAGTTAATTTTGAGTATCTCACAAGTGTGTCTATATGAACTGAAACTGAGTGTCATCAGACAGGCCCTGTACACTAAAAGTATTAATTTTTTATAATCTCATAAGTGGACCTTTGATATTAAAGTTGGAGCAGATAGACCCCGATATGCATGGAGATTAAAACATATTTCATTCAGCTTTTAACCAGAAGTGGCCTTTTATTCAAATTACACAAATCAGAAAATTTGGTTTAGAAACTTGCAATTACTTTCATTACTGAAAACTACTAAATATATATACATACATACATACATACATACACACACACACACACACACAGTTAACAATAGAATAAAATCAAGAAGGTAATTTTTGTTTCTTTCTAAAAAATACTAGATGAAAGTGTTTCTTAATAAATTATAAATAATTTCTTTATGGACTTATAATCACATGAAACACAAACATTTTGATTTCTATGTAATAAAGTCATTGATTAAAAGAAACATTATGTTCAAGAAGTCATGAACTCTATGACATTATTACAATCATTAAATTCTTAGGTATGAAATTCCAAAACTATGACAGGATTTCATTGTGCTACAACATTTTTTTTTTCCTGATGGTAAAATTTCGTGTCACTATCAACAAAATCAAATCAACTATTGCAATTTTGCAAAATTCTTGACCTTGGTAACTAAAAAGTTCAATAAAAACAATAGAAAATGTGTGTTTTTCATACCTTTATGAGCATGGATGGCAAACTGGGTAAGCAGTTCTACACTCAAGGAAGCCAGTATAATGTTGGAATGGAAAGCACATTCACTACATAGTTGTAACACCTTACAACCTACCAAGGAATGTATTTAGTACTACATCTAATTCACAACACATTCAAAACATTTTTAACTTAAAGAAAGAATTATATTCACTCAGTATTAATCAACTAACAAAAATCTTTTAAATCATAAATAGTTAAGTCACAAAACAATGAAGATTTACAGTGTAGCTAAACAGTTTTTTTTTAGTTTAATCTGGTGTGTAATATGTTGCAAGCCTTAACTTATAGGAAAACCTAACAAGAGTGAAAAATAAAAGTACACATTATACTTGTTTACTATCATAGTAGAGATTAATACACAAAATTTTCATTGTATGATTACCATCTATCATCTTCAACACATTAAATGTTTTCAATATTTATGTCAGAATTAGGAAACAAAAAACAACATATTTTTCATTATCTAAGTCAGATTAAAAAAACCCAACAACAACCAAGTCGTTATGAAACTTCAATCTTTCTCCATTAAATAATATTCAAAACTACTGAGACTATCAGATTCCTTTAAACCAGTTTTGTGATAACATGCACTTTTACAAGTATCACGAATATTTTCTTTATTTATATACATGTAAAGAAAATTACTGATGATAAACACACAGAGTAGAGAATGTTTATCTCAGATTCTTACCTTTATACAAGTCAAACTTGTCCACTGCTACTGACTTAGCCAGCATTAACAGAACCGGTAAGGCTTCACATCTCAAATTAAGGTAAGGGGTTCCAAGACTATACGTCACCATGTCCTAAGTACAGTCACAGGTAAATACATCAACAAATTACTAGAGAAACACTAATACTGCATAAAAAAATCTTACTCTGCAGCTTTCAGTTACAGTTATGTTATTATTCTAGAGTTAAAATGTGTAATTTTTAACTTTTAACTGCAGATGGCCTACACATCTGAAAAACTAATTAATTTGTTTAGTTGAAGGTTTTGTTTAAACTTTTGGTAATATATACATAAATAAAATAATATTCAAGCACTTTATTTACACAGGCTTATATGGCACTGATGTTAAAACATTCTCACCTCAACATTCTGCCTGCTCCACAAATGAGGTCCCTTCTCTGCTAACAGTTTAAGATCTTTCAAAGCATGAATTTTCACACCACCTCTTGGATCTTTCTTTAAGTAATTTAATAACAGATTCACCTAAATGAACACAAAAACTGTGCTGTTAAAAATCAGTATTCTTTATTACTTTTTAACTTGTGTTTCTTACATAGACGCTCTACACTTAGTTAAACAAAGCAGAAAATAACAAAAACTGGTCAGATAATTAACAACTCCAAAAAAATAACTAAATGTTGTTGTAACTCAAGTGAATTGAAATTACAAAAGTAAAATAAAGGTCATTTGGTGCGCAACTACAAAATGTCCAGGCTCACCTGATCTGGAATATCAGCAAGTAAGACACTGGCCAACTGCGTGAGGGTGTGCAAGGTAACCACTGTAAACTGTTGTGATGGGTAGCTGGGAAGAAGGTCTACGCAGAGCTTACGAACCTTACAATAAAAACAAAACATTAATCATTATTAAGATTGAGGTGCAAAGGCTTGCGTGTTGCCCATTACCTTTATGAGTGACCTAGAATGATACTGTATGACATAAAAAAAATATTGCATCACAATTTGGAAAAACCTGCAAAATTTATTTATAAAATTAATACAATTTATAAGATAATCCATCTAAATTTACACTTATTGCTACACAAGTTAATAAGTTTTCTAGTATAATTTGTAGGTATGATTAATAACAAAAGTCTGAAATATCTATATTAGATAATTTGTTTGTTTTTTGTTTTGAATTTCGTGCAAAGCTACACAAGGAAAAGCAGCTAGTCATCACCACCCTTCGCAAACTCTTGGGCTACTCTTTTACCAATAAATAGTGGGATTGACCGTCACATTATGATACCCCCACGGATGAAAGGGTGAGCAT